ACAATATATGCAATGTTTTATAATAATAATCAACTAATTTAACATTGAATGATTCAAAGAACAAATTTTTTGTATATATAGGGTATTAAAAATTCAAATTCTGGGGCTAGATATATCGATAAACCTTAAGTGGAGTCATACTGAAATAAATCCGGCCAAAAAATTATTTAAATTTTTAGATAGCCGATTAAAGTAAATTTTAAATTAAAGGATAATATCTTCACTTGCATCATTATAAAAATCATCATTATTATAATATATATAAATTTTTAGAAAATTTCAAAATAGAAATATTTTTGAAAGATAAAATCATACCAAATAAGAGTTCAAGTCGTAGTATAAGAGTCACGTCGTAATCAAAGAATCGTTTATATCGTGCCAACCTTTGTGCTTTGCCATAAATATAAGTTATTATCTCACTTTGTGGCTATTTTTAGGTTCCAATGACACATATGAGAATAGTGCAAAAATAAAATTATCACTACGAGAATTGAGAAAATGTTAGTCTTTTTTCATATAGCGTTTCTTAATTAATATCTAACGATTATCTATAATTATTTAGAAGGTTTAAATATTAAGGTTATTTACATATAATTCAAATAACTCATATATTTAACATGGTTAATATGAAATATCAAAATGGAGTAAAAAAAAAAAAAATCACTAGCTAAAGAATTTTTTATATTTTTAGATTGCCAACTAAAATGAGTTTTGAATTAAGAATAATATTTCCAATTACATTATTATAAAAATAATTATTATTAAAAAATAATATTTTAGAAACTGAAATTTTAAGAAAGAAATATTTTTTAAGAGGTATCAACACACCAAATAATAGTTCAAGTAGTAGTAAAAGAGTTAAGTCTTATCCAAAGAATCATTCATTGTCTCAACATTTGATTGTTTTGCCATAAATATGAGTTATTATTTTGCTTTCTGATTATTTTTAGGATCCAATGACACCGGCAAGAATGATATCAAAAAAGAAAAATAGAAGAAATGGTTAATTTTTTTCATGTAGTTAATATCCAATGATTTTCTATATTTACTGAAAAAGTATAAATTTTAAGATTATTTACATATAATCTAAATAACTTAAATATTTGACATGATTAGTGTCCGCGCATCAGCGCGGGTACTAATACTAATTATGCTTAAAGTCACTGAACTACGGTATGCGTTAGTAGTAATTAGTTGTATTATTACTAAAGTCATCAAATTATTAAAATCGCTGAATTATGTAATATGTATATTAATTTCTTAGAAAACATAATTTATTGGAAAGTCAATTTTCCGCACCCGAAAATTGACATATCACTGCCACGTCAGTTAATTTAAAAATTACAGCTTGGAATAACCATGTTTTAAACTATAAACAATTAAAAATATTTTTTCCTCCTGACCAGCCAATTATTTCGCATTTAATTTCTTGCTCCTTTGATCGCGCTAGATTAGGAATTTGAGGGGAAATGATGTGTGAATATTTATGTGGTGTAGAATTGTGTACTTTACCTGTATAAAAAAAAGGTGATATTTAATAATAAAATAAAATTGAGCAAAATAGAACGAAATAGATACATAAGATTTATAAAATTTAAGCTTAACAAAACTTAAGATATTGAGATGTAGTTGATTGATTAATGTGGCGTCTTTTTTTTTTTTTTTTTTTTTAA